CATTTTTTTTTATTTTTTTAGATGGATTGTATAATTTTTTTATATATATATTGAATAGAGTATGCTTATTATCTCATATTTTTCCACATGGAACATTACACCTACATCATTGTGCATTTTATTATAATCGTCAAATAAAGGTCGCTGCAAGGATCTCCTGTCTTAAATTTTGAGGAATCTCCAAAGAGTACGGAAACAAAGGCGTGTTACTGGTTGGTCAAACCTCAGGAAGATGCATGGCTATGTAAAGTACCAACAATTTTAGAAAATAATTGACATTACTAACAATGTATAATATATTATATATATAATGTTAACTATGTGTCGTATCTCTCTCTTTTTAATCAACAAGAGGGTTCAAACTAGCTTATATATATTTTAATTAATTTTATAAATTTTAAATTTAATAATTATATAAATCTTAAGTGGTTTTGAGAGAATTTAAATTTATAATTATTAAAAAAATTTAAAATTTAATTAGTTAAATTACTTTAATTTATATATCATTCTTGTTAGAGTCGGATGCAGAGAATTAAAGATAAATTATTAGTTAATTATATCCCACGTCGACAAATCACTAAATTTATATAAACTTGAAATTTTAGTGCAATCAAGTGAGTTGATTTCATTTAGTTTGATTATATAATTAAAAATTTCAAATCAGACATTTTAATTGAATAAAATTTGTTTATGCATATTAACATATTAATTTTCTTAGTTTTAACGAGCAAGCTGAATATATATATATATATATTTTGTTGTACAGAAAATATTAAAATATTGTAAATCAAATCAATAAATACATGGTGAGTTTTCCCTATTTAATATAAGATTTATGGTTTAACATCAATTTTTCAAAATTAATATTATTTTTTTATAAATATAGTGCTTGCTTTTTAAAGTATTTTTTTATTAAAAATAAAATGAAAAAAATATTTTTTATTTTAATAAAATTATTTTTAATATTAGTATATTAAAATAGTTCAAAAACACTAAAAATTATTAATTTAAAATAAAAAATAAAAAATAAAAAATATTTAATGTTTTAAAAAATATTTTAAAATACAAAGACAGATATTATTTTTATTTTTATGTTGAAAAGTTGACTTTCATGTAACATGATGAATGCAAAATGAGTTATTTAAAAACATGACGGCGGTGACGTGATTTTTAAAATAATGTCAAATATGTTAAAATTCTTCATTCTAAATCGTGAAATGAAATGTTAATAAATTTACTTTGAGTATTGTTTTCTGGTTAGTCAAGACAAGATATATTCACGTGATCAAAAGCATTCATATGTTACGAGAGAAAAAAATTATTAAATAGAAAAAACTATTTTAATTAAAGTTGATGATGAACATGACAGATAGATTAAAATATTTGTAGTGTTCAAGAGATTTTCAAACTATTGTGAAATATATTTAAATTCTTTAAGGTGTTTACGTGGAAAAGTCTTTATCTTGGCATTGCTGATTCTTTTAGTAAAAAAAAAAAACATTAATTTGGTCATATTGATTACATGAATTTAAAAATAATTTAAATAATTTATAAGAATATAATTTAATTTAAAATAAATATTTAAAATAATTTTTTTAAAATAAACATTAAAATAATAAAATATTAGATCGATTTAGATTAATTTGAGTTAACCTATTTATCTACTTAAAATTTGAGATGATGATAACTTTATGTAAATTAAATTAAAATAAATTATAAAATTTAATTTTTAATAAATTTAATATTGAATAATAAAATTAAAAAAATAAATTAAAAAACATAAAAAATTGACCATAGTCAACTTATGTTAATTTATTAAACCTGTGACCTGAATCATGAGATCAGGATAATACAATAGAAAATAAATAAAAATAAATTTAAAACATTTAATTATTAATCAATCTAATGTTAAAATAAAAAAAAAATCTATGAAAAATAATAAAAAATCAACTCTTTTGTCAACCAAGGTTAACTCTCTAAACTTGTGATTTGAGTTATGAAATGGATAACCTCATAAAAAACAGATTGAAATAAATTATGAAATTTAATTTTTAATTAATTTAATATTAAAAGATAAAATTATAAAATAATTATAAAAAATAGTTAAGCAAAACCAAGATAACCTGTTAAATTCGTGATCGAGATCATGAATTTGAAATAACTTTATAAAAATTAAATTGAAAAACAAATATGAAGTATAATCTCTAATAGATTTAATATTAAAAATAAAATAAAAAATATTATTCAAATAAATATTATTATAAGAAATATAAAAAAACTCTCCTCTAGTTTTTTTAATAATAATAAATAATTCACAAGTGCATGGGTAAGTTAACAGTGGCAAGAAATGGCATCTCTTTTGTATGGGCCGTACTGATTTATAGGAATATATGGGCTGGACTAATTTTGTTTCAATTTATTTTTCTTATCAAAAGGGTTTGACAAACACAGAATGATCGAACTTTTTTTCAATGGATAACTAGGAAGCTTCTGGCCCATGAATCAGGAACATC